ATTTTTAGTACACTTTGAAGTATAGTCTCAGTAAACTACTAGTTTAGTAGTTTTATACTGCAAGTATACTCGTAAGTTTTCTTTAAGTGAACTTTACATCATACTTTATACTACTATGTCCCTGTTTAGGTATTAATTTGTATATATTTTGTTACATGAATATCTGAACATACAAAACATCAAAAGAAAGAACAGGGTATCTGCTTGTAAACAAAAACATTTTATTCTAGCTTCATGCACTCTTTTTTAACTAGGGGTAAGTTTTATAATTAAAAAAATAAAGAAACAAACAACATTTTGAACAAAAAGCTAAAAAAAGACTATGAACTGGATTCAGAATGATAATCAAAACTTAGATAAAGCCGATCAACACTCCAAAGCTTGACAGTCATTATTACCTCTTCATTGGTCTACATTTTATTCCATAACGTTACACAGTTTTGATGCTGTTTTATGTCTGATTGTGTTAGATTACATGTGGAAGCATCTGTTGTTTCGGTTTCTTCTTTACTTGTGTTTTTTTTTTTTTGTGGAAATTCTGTACAGAAGATGTGTAATAGCACCCCCTACCGTAACAATGAAAACATGGATTCTCTAAGTATAAGTCAAGTATACTTAAATGTCATTTTAAGTATATTTCTGAGAAGTACATAAAGCCCATGCCTGAGAAGTACATAAAAAGTAGACTGAAAGTATACTTTCCTTTTTTTTAGTTTAAAAGAAGTATACCAATAGCACACTTGAATAAACTTCTTTTTCGTAAGGGTAAGTAAGGATATGTGCCACAGAAGTCAGCGTATTCGTGAGCAGGTGATAAGAAGAGAAAATTTTTTAAATATTTATGGTACAACCCCATAAGTTTACCTTGTGTAGAGCTGTCACCGTAATACTTATGAGTTCAACATCTCACTGTCTTTCCACCGACTACATCCGCAACTGTGATCAAAGACTACCGGTATGTAAAATCTTTGGAGTGACTACCATCAGGGCAGAATTATGATGAATGACAATCTAGAGTGACGTAATAGTCGCATGAATTCTGATATGACCATTCAGATTGAGATCGCATTGCAAAACATCTGATCTGAATCTGATTTACCATATATTTACCATATATGGAAGTGGCCCAAATCAGAATCGAAAAGATCAGATTCCATGTGGGCCACATTTAGCTGTGAATGTAACATAAATGTCTTTATGAAAATCAAAAAATATAGAAATATTTACACTACACTACCATTCAAAAGTTGCTCACCAAACCTACATGTATTTGATAAAAAATACAGTAAAAACGGTAATATTGTAAAATATTATTTTGATTCACTATAACTTGTCTATTGTAATATATTTTAAAATGTAATTTATTCCTGTGATGCAAAGCTGAATTTTCAACAGCCATTACATCAGTCACATGATCCTTCAGAAATCATTCTAACATGCTGATTTGCTGCTCAAGAAACATTTATTGTTATTATTCATGTTGAAAATGAGTACATATTTTTGTGTCATTCATTTTGTTTTAGGGTTAACAAAATAACAGCATTAATTCGACATAGAAATCTTTTGAAACATTATATATGTCTGTACTAGACTTTTGATCAATTTATATGTCCTTGCTCAATAAAAGTCAGCATTTCTATCAACAAATAAATAAATAAATCTGACTGCCCCTGTCGTGACAGAAAAACAAATGTTTGCGTGTTAGTGTAAGTGCGCATGAGTTGGCAGCAAACAGCTGAGCCAGGGCCCACAAGTCACCTTTCTTTTCCAGATGGCTGCTGGAGAAATGGGCAGCACTTTGGTTAATAATGATGAGTAAATACAGCAGTCTATCGTATGACACACACTCACAGAGAAGACAGAAGGGTGGCCTCATCCTCTTGTTGAGGAGTTATGAGGCCACATTCCAAAACCATCCATTTCATAAATGCTGGCAAAATTACTTGGCTCAGTGTTTCCTTCTGATGCGGGCCTCAAATCACTATGACTGGCTCGGTCTGACTTTGATTCCTCTAACCAGGATCTGACAGGGATGGAAACTACAGAAGCAACACACACCATCCAAGTGTGGCCAGCAGCAGAAAGAGAAAAGCATGCAAGAGCACACATACTCATACACATGGCTGCAAACCCAAATTTTGTGCACCCTTTCATATTAATAAAGCTGATAGGCTCTTTTTTATTTGTAAAAACATTTATGTTCCTATTTTTCTTATAAGGAATATTAAGTCTCAGTCTGTCAGGGTTTGAGAACTGCTCACCCGAATCCCTTCATAACTGGTACAGATTTGCATTGTTTTGCAAAGATATCATTTACACAGTTACATACATATTTTATTATCTTAAGCCTTATGTTACACCTCAAATGACAAGGGAATTTATAGTATTGTTACTATTTAGCTGGTCCCCAAACTTTTTTTCTCAAATGCTTGGGTATACAGAGCACTCACAACTTATATGGACTAAACGCTCCTGATATATCAACGTTTAGAGATGAACGCCTATTCAGCATTCAGCAAATTAGTCATCCTGATTAATGACAACATTAGCACTGATACAGTAGTTTTGACATGCAAAGAGGTTAGCCAATCATAACTGAGATCATTTGCATATAGAAGTCTTACATTACTGCTACAGTTTCATTCTTAATGTCAGACACTGTAAATAGTCATGTAAAACTACCTGTAAATAATGACCGTTTTGGTGTAAGAAATCTTGACTAAGTGAACTTTTGGAGACAATAAAATACTATGATGTAATATGTAAGTATATTGTAAGGCAGTACAATAAATATATATATTTTTTTCAAAATATATATATTTTGAAGCACAAATTAAACATTTAATGTAACTGATTTCAGTAAACCTCAGTAAAATTAGACATATTAAAGTAACTCAAATTAACCTAATGTAGTTAGCAATAGCACATATTAGCATGCTAAATGCTAATAAATATATATATTTTTTTCAAAATATATATATTTTGAAGCACAAATTAAACATTTAATGTAACTGATTTCAGTAAACTCAGTAAAATTAGACATATCAAAGTAACTCAAATTAACCTAATGTAGTTAGCAATAGCACATATTAGCATGCTAAATGCAACTTTATTGCATCTAATATACAGGTATCTGTTTTCACACAACGGTTTGGTCAATAAATGTCAGTTTTTATTGCAGATCCTTTGCAGACTTCCAGGTTTGAATGTATTCAAAGATGCCACTTTGATTTAATTTGATTTAGTCAAGGTTTGCGTCAAATACATTGTTTTTTGTTAAGATCTGGCAGCAACAGCACTTTTTTTTCTGCTTGGGCGAGCAACTCGCGGAAAGCTTTACTTCCTCATGAAATCATCCGCATACCAACAAACCAATGCAATAGTGCGCAAGGGAAAAAGCTGTTGTGGATCTGCTCACCCGAATCCCTTCATAACTGGTACAGATTTGCATTGTTTTGCAAAGATATCATTTACACAGTTACATACATATTTTATTATCTTAAGCCTTATGTTACACCTCAAATGACAAGGGAATTTATAGTATTGTTACTATTTAGCTGGTCCCCAAACTTTTTTTCTCAAATG